CTACAGTAAATAATGCAATAATTTAGTTTTCTTAATTTAATTTACCTGCTTAGGTATGTATTGAAGCGTCATTATTTCGTTTTTCTTTTGTTTATCGTACCTAATATAGTATGAAGTAAGTTAAAAAGTTAAATTCTTATAAAATTCAAAAACCTAGCCGGAAAATCGGAAAAGCGTATTCTATATGAACTTAGACACCCACACGTTTGAACTGAAGTCTGCTGGAACTAGTTACATTTAAAAGGCGTTACAGGGTTTGCGTAAGTGCCGTAACATTTTAATATTTAACGTTTTTTTAATCAAAACCTTGTCATCGCGTGTCCGTCGGTCTTTCACTGACTAATTGGTTTGACTCTGTTAACGTGGGCTGTTCCGTTTGAGAGATATGTTAAAAGAGCTCGTTGACACCCGGTTTACTATATGATGCGCTGAGTATAACCATTATGGTAGGTGACATATTTTAATCGTTAGGGGAATGTTTAAAAGTTCGCGAAGTGAGGTAATTTTATGCCATCTCTATCCGAAACGTTCATCGCCATTTTATATTTACGAGGTAATTAAGGGAAAAACATTGCAGTAAAATGGAGTCGGTTCCTCTGCGTTAGCAACTGCGTCAAACACTTGAAATATTTTTAGATATTTTATTGTTTACGCTACATATTAGTTCAAAACAAAGACATCGTAACGCTAACACAAACATTTAAAGCCTTTTTGATTTATATAACTACTTACATTTAAATGAAACACTTAACCAAACCAAAGTTTCGGATGCTTTGCAGAGGTCGTGGTCAAGAGGAGACGTGAATTATATAATGATAATTTCCAAATAAGTTTAACTAATATATATATCGCGTTTTAAGCCGTTAAAGTGTTTTATTTCAATGAGTACAACTCGCGTAAAATACAGACAGTATTTAACTTACATCTTAATAAGAATTATGAATTCCATTTTCAAATAATAACCACACTAATAAAAAATACGTAACGTAACACAAAAACGTAATTCAGCAGGTAGATAGTAAAGGTATATTTACGCCGCGCACTTCGGCGGAATCAAAACAAAGTACCGAAATAGCCACCCCAGTAATTTATTTGTCTTTAATTTTTAAAAATGGAACGCGGAAGCGGTCCAATGAGACGCATCCCTCGGCTGATTGTCAATTAGCGACATCAAACGGGCTTTTTGCGAATTAAGCGTGCGTTTGTGTTCATTTTTTGTCCGGCAGATGAGCGGAGCGGACGTTCAATGCGTTTTTCCGTTTCGACGTTTCATTTTCATATTTCCGTTTGTCTGGTCGTCTGGGGGGAGTACAATGGGGGCGTTTTATAATATCAACGGCCCTCCATTTGTGATGGATGTTTAATTCGTGTGAGTGCCCTTGCAGACAGATTAAAAATTTAAATCCTTTTTTCGCGATTGTTTTTTACACGAGATTTTTATGTAGTGGAAATATATAGTAACTGCTCTGTTGTAAATACAGTTGTATTGTATTCGTTTATGTAAATGATAACTACATCATGTTTTTTACATAAATGCAAGGTGATTATTAGATTATGTTTAAGACACAATGTAGAGTTATTTAAAGAATTTTAATTATCCGTTTGGTAACGATTATATAAAGACGTACTTTTTGTAATTTTAATAGGTAACTAACTATATTATCATACGTTCTAAGTTTACCTATTTTTTTTTTATTAATATAATTTTTGCATTTTATATTAATTTCTATAATTTTTGCTTATGCAACTATTTATAATAAGATTAACGAACATATCGAACATTTTAATAAACCACTTTTAACGGTTTAAACGATATATATGCTAAACTTAATTGAAAATTATTTTAACTACAAACCCAATGTATTAATATATATCGCGTTTTAAACCGTTAAAGTGTTTTATTTAAATGTGTGTAGGTACACATTTAAACAAAACACTACTTGTATAAACAGACAGCAAAGTAGGGAGGTACTACTAAACGAGTCTCAATCAGAGCACATAAATAGAATCTTCTCACACTCCCATTGAAGCACCCTTTATAAGCCTCCACAGTTCAACATATGCAAAGCAATCGAAACCCAATCGGATGCTTCTAAACAAACCCGTCTGGCGAAAGGCAGAAACAACGAAAATGGAAAAAAGCTACGCGTATTGGGATCGGAGGACAAAAGGATGTTCGGGATACACCAACGAGCTACCATTACCTAGTATTGCTTGTATGGAGTCTCTTCAATCGTTCTGTTGTATCAAAGAGAGTGTTGGTAATTTTGGAAATATTCTTTGCTGAACAAAAAGCATTAGGTTTAATTAAGAGGTACTAATATCATAAAGCTAAAGAATTCGTTTGCTTTTTTTATTTGAACGCGCTAATCTCAGAAACTAGTAAATAACTATGATAATAAATTAGGAAACAAGGAAAATAAAAAGATAAATTATAGCTCTTAACCACAACGTACTTCGTCTCTAGTTTATCTTCAAAGAAAACATAATGTCACGCATTCTTTTTAGTTCATTTAAAGAAGAATCAGTCTTTTAGAAATACAATTTTTTTGGTTTTTTGAACCATTTACGCAGCGCCCTACGCAGCGCGGCATGTGGAAAAGGGGTTACAACCTCTTCTACATTCTTCTCTGTTCCTTCGCTTGTATTGTTCGCAGCGTAATGTTATATAACCTAAAACATTCCTCGATAAATGGTCTATGTAAGGTAAAAATAATACTTCCTGAGATTATCGCGTTCAAATAAACCAACAGACTTCAGCTCAATATTAGTATATGGTATATGTAATACAATACTATATCGAGAGAGAAACGTATGCTAATTATGGAACAGATAGAGGCTTTGAACGCGAGTCAACCCTACAGCTACTGATTTGAGATGAAAGGTATTCCAGCATTGTATCTTTCAATCGAAATTAAAGACAAATTGTACGTTCAATGCTCGCACAATGAATGGCGCTATTCGCAAACGCGTTTTTGTAAGCTTTTTATGATGAGTTTTCAATACGTATTGAAGAGGATTTATGTTTTTTTTTCGCGAACCTGTTATTAATATGCTCATTAGGTGATTGATGTGAAAATGTACCGATAGTGGTGCGCTTCGATGGTCATTTCACGTTTGCGAATGCTGAATTCTATAGACTTTTGGAAGCGATGCAAACTATTATAAACATATGTTTTTAAGAGAATGCTAATAGATTTTTTATAGAGAACGACAGACAGGCATAGGGCCCACTTGATGGAAAATGAAACACTGGACTATCAACCTGGACTAGCTTTAAATATTCGGGAATTCACAGACTGAAATCGAATCACAATAACTGGTGGTTCGTGACTCGTTGGAATTTTTGATAATCCTACCATTCACTTAATATCCAGATTTCCAAGCGAATTCTATCATATTGGACGTAAATGAACTCACGACGAACGATCCTGTTAAATTGAGGACGTGGAAGAACGAACAATGCGTTATTGATTCACCATTTACTCGATGAAAAATGAAGCCATGTAACATCTAATTCAGACTACCGTTAATTTATTTTGGATTAAACAATCTTAATTTTACCTTCTTCTACCACTAAACGCGACTTTTCCCATGTGTAGTGACTGAATTAGAATCCACGCCATACAATGCCATTGTTAGAACAGCGAAAACATAATATAGAGAAGACAATTACTATACCTATAATCTAGATACAGAATAATCAATTCAAAGTACTTCTTTAAAATAGCTTAGACAAACACCAGCTCATGTTACAAGGTTAAGTAATACGGGGAGAATATAAAATCCAAACATTCAAAGGAACCGTATCTTTTCAACGGAAAAAGGCCAACAATACTTGAAAAGGACATCAAAGACGTCTAGTGTGATTTCCATACGATTTCTTTCGCATTTCCCGAAGAAAGGGTGACAGCGGTTTCTTTGTGCGTGACCTTGCATAGTAAATATTGGTCTGGCCAGGGGAATAAATTATGATACGGTAAGGGTCTCGTTGGCTGCGAAATAATAGTGTTTAAAAAATACGAATCAAATACTTTTAAAAGTTCAAAACGTGAATTATCTAGATTATGTCATGTGAAATTATCTTTCAGAGCGTTTCGATTTTTTGGATGCTTTACAGCAGCAATGGTGAAGGGAGGAATGTTGGTAAGCTATCAACAGTCAACCGTGATAGTATCGGCAGTTTTGAGCTAAAATAAGGTGGGTTGCTTTTATTTGAGCTCAAAACCAAATGTTATATTGTCGTTTAAACTACAGAGAAATACTACTGTTGGAGAACTGTAGAACTGGGTGGCAGCTTGATAGCTGTACAATGAATATATAAAATAAAAATCAAAAATATTAAATGTAATCTGTATAGCCAAAATTCTTAACTCAGTTCGTAATTGCTTGTTAGTTGAGCATCAGTTTCATGTAATTTGAACCAGAGACAATTTCCAATTGCAAATTCCTCTTCAGAAATATTTAAAAGCCCAACGATCTAAGTGGTTAAAGGATGTAAAAAACAGCGAAGAATTCTCTTCCGTCCCCGCTCTCAAGTACGTACTTATTATCTTCCAGCGAACATTGTTTCCTTGATTTTATTTCGAACTACAAATTGAAGTCGGTTCCGCCTCGATTCCAAGAGACTACGCCGAAGTTTAAGAGGGTCTGTTGTAGTTAATTCGCTATTTTAAATCCGATTTAACTCTGTTTTGTAACTAAATTTTATTTAAACTTTCGTGCTGGAGGATACTCAAATTAAGTTGTTTCAAATTTAAATTGCTTCCTCGCTCGAACAATGTAGGAATAACATTTTTATGAATCGCGAACCTTTTTCGTCACACGAATTTCGTTTGACGACTGCATAATTAGGTTTGGTAGGTATTGTCTAATTTGTAATTTCACTTTTGTGTATAGTTTAATTTGGTTCAGAAACTCCAAGGTTAAAGTCAGGTATCGTAAACAAATGGTTCCAAAATTAAGTTCTTTATAGGTGGGTAGGTAATCATATCACCTACCTTTGAATGTTCTTGTTGCGCTAACAACTGCTCCCGTACCATTTGGAGTTGAAGAATCATCTCGGATAGCTGCCGTTCCTTCTCCAGTACACTTTCTCCTGCCAAAGCCTGAATTGCTGCCGCGTCTAATACGCCTCTTCGGTCACTGTAAAGAAAGAGTAGTTTTATTTAGAACGTGAAGAGAAAAACAAAATATTTTTTATGTACAATAGACGTTTCTGTCAATTATCGCTTTTATTAAGGCTACGTCCATCCGACTTTAATCCCTAACAGAGTAATACAATATTTTTCTTAGGATTGGCATCCAGTACCTCTCATCTTTAACGCAATGCGCTTGTTTATATATTATGCAATAAAAAGCAAGTAGGTTTGGAGATAGATGTGAAGCAATTTAACGTGACTCAAACTAAATTCTTATAAATATCTCAGATCCGTGAAGCAGTCCACGATGAAGATTATCAGACTACATTTTCTTTTATTATACAGGACACACTCTATGGAGGTGATATATTCCAACCATATAGCATTTACAAGATGCGTGCGAACGACCTATTTCGATATATCAATTTTGATATTCGAAAATCACAGACTAAAATCGAAACGCCTTAAACCCGTTAAAAGTGTTGAATGTCTCACAATACGTAACGTAATTATTTGTTCACATTCTCATTCTAATGTGTACGTAACTCACAATTATTTGAGCAAGTTATGCAACGCAGTCGGAAAACTAAAGTTGAATTATTCATATCTCAGTTTCGCAGAGTAGTGCTGAGCGGCGCATACATGTTGACAACTAACAAAGGTTGTTATTACACGACGAAACTTTACGCCAAAGCGGAGCGGAAGCTACCCAACTACGTGAACTCGAACTCGATCTATAGATATTGGAATCGAGAACGATTACAACCGAGAAAATGAGGCGAGATCTTTTGTTGATCGCCCTATATTTATAACGACAAAAAAATATTATTGTATTATAGTACGGTGCGAATGTCACTTTGATTTCTTACAACAACTCTAGATAGTGTAGATTTAAAGTTCCAAGCTAAATCAAAATAATTGCTTTTGCGCCATCTAAAAGTGTAAATTAATTTTTAATTTAAGCCATAATGTAATTTAATTTTGTATAAAAAATAAATTTAACTGTTATATACAATATCCCAACATTTATTTCGCATTATTAATAAATGTCTAATGTTTGAATGTATGACAAAATTCACTCTCCATTATGCTTGTAATAACCTAATTGTAACATAAGCCAACAAAAAAGTTCTTTTAACACATTTTAACTCTAAATTCATGCTTACAGCGACCTTAATTTATACGTAAAGTTATGTCATCAAAACTCGACCCAATTCCCAACAGTAGGGGTTGCACTGGCAACACAAACGAATGCATCGGAGGGCGGAACTGAATTATTAATGTTTCGTCCGGGCTCCGCCGTTCAAGATGCCATGATACACCTCTATTCAGCTGCACTATATTGTATAGATCATGTTTCTCTTTTAACGATCAGTGGTTAAAGGGAGTTTTACCGCCCCGCTTTCTTGGGGTGTGCAGACATACTTTTGAGGCTGTTTTACTGACCTATTATCATTAACAAGTAGGTACTATCATTTTAAGTAGGTATAACCGTAGATCGCGTGGGATTTATCGTTTTAAATTACTAATCGCGTTAACTATAAAGTGGGTATTTATTTGTTTGTAATATATTATAGATAATGACATCCAACAAAGGAATAATTTATATGCAATAATATTTTTTGCGTTGTAAACCATTAAAAGTGCTTAATTACTGCACTCTCGTAAACATTGACAAGTGTTGTCTCAATCAAGTATAATTATAAGTAATAGTTTTGTTAGTATTTTGGCTCAATGTTTTTAACAAAATATACGGTGGGTTTGTCAAGCCACTTTCGATTTTGGGAGATAACAAGGGAACGATTCGAGATATTAAAAAACAAGTTCGGAATATAGAATCTTTCTGCGCTCCCCGTTCGAAAACAAAAAACGTGACCGCCGCCGATAATTATAATAATAAAACGGTAAGCACCAACTTTCATGTCAATTTTGATGTCAAAAAACATCGCTTTAAATCGGAGCAAATTTCGACATGCATTTATCAAAGTACAGATACATTTTGACAGAAAACACTTTAATTAGCCCTCATTATAACAAGAAAACCAGTCCTTGGTTTAATTATGTGAAAGGCGAAAGCACCATTGTGATTTTGACCTGAAATCGGACGCTTTTTACCAAGTCACGGGTGGCGGTAGTTTTGTTAAATGTCAACACTAATAATGTAATTTAAAACAGTGCTCGGAATATTTTCTAGACGTGACGCGATCGAAACTTGGATTGGGTTTGGATTTTTGGATTTTGGACCATAGAATTATGATGTATAGTGTAGTTTTTTGAGACTTGTATGGCTTGGCTTAGTAAAATAAGTGACACTTTTTAAACATAATCTGCGCTAATTTTTCGTGCATTTTTGTAAGTCGAAAGTAACATAGCAGCGCTTAAAACTTTACAAGTTTTGAATAATGTAGATTTTAATGTCTACAGTTTACTTTATTTTATAGTTGATATTGAATCACTACACCAAAGTGTCTTTCGACCTCGGGAAAATGCCAATGGACTCGTATTCAAAGTGTAATTGTCACTATGATAATAAAATTTCCGATAGAGGGCGCTAGTAATCAATATTATTAGTATTTTTTGTAATGTTACTATTTTTACTAACACGAACTAATACAACTATAAAAAAAATAAAAATATACTTTTTTTTTTAATTTAAAAAATTATTAAGATTCGAAAAATGTTTGTCTGTCTGTCGTGATTCTACAGAGAGTTCCATACCGAGAAGCACACCCGAGAAACTCAATCCGGCTTTTTTAAACATGTCTTATAAACTAATACATTTTTGGGAATTCATTAACTTAAGAAGCAATTCACAACAATGCCATCCTTGTCATTTAAGAAATCGTTCAAACAATAATACGCCTTTTGAGAACATCTAAATTTTATGACTCTTTGAAACTTATTTATTGATAAAGTAACATTACTTATTAACCTAACTTACATTAGTTTTAACTCAAGTTTTAGTTACAATACAATCCCAGTGCCAAACAGCGCTCACGCAGCAACACAACCATGCATAATACCTGTCGCTCAAAGGCCGTATCGCGGTGCTTTATTTTCCTGCTCAATGAGACGCCACTTGTGATTTATTGTCTGGCAAATAAAATAAGCTTTTTGTTTTAATCCCGTTCTACCGGTAGCGTTTATGTACGGCTTTACGGTTTCATTGTTGCGTGTTTAATTTGATGCGTTTTATCGACAATCCACGTTTTGCATTGGTGTTTTTGAACGGTGTTTTGTGAAGTTAACAAAGGGTTAACTTATTGAGTTATATCATTGCTGAGAGATGGGTCTTACACTAGATTTAGAATTATTTTAAAACATGAAAAAGCGTTCTTCAAAGCAACTATGCCATTTTTCAACAATATTTACACAGTCTCTCGGTATTCGGTATTCGGTAGCTCAATTGGTTAGAGCAACAGCACGGAATGCCGTGGATGCCCGAGTCCTGCCCGAGTCGGAAATTATTCCAGCGGATATGTTTATAACAAAGAAGCTTGGTGAGAATTGAATTACATTAAAGAAGTTTAATATAGTAATTTAATTTAATTTTATAAGATTTTATTTTAATTTAAATAGGTATTATTTTGATTGTGAAAAGTACTGTCTAAAATGAAGGTGCATATTATAAGATAATGTGCTATGTTTTCTTTTTATATGTATTGTGTTCTTATATATAAATAACTGTTTTAATACAGGGAACTTCCATCCTTAGTCTCCATCAAATTACAACATCTATTCATAAATAGGTCTTTTAGAAATCCGGCTGTAAATAAGCAATTCCCGTCTGTGACGGTAATATAATACCGATATAAACCTATCAGTTTACTGACAGACGAACAATACAATAATTACTCAATTTTCTCCCTCCCCAAGTTTCCCCGAGGGCGACACTCGTCGAACAAGTCAATTTTTGATGGAATCGATCTGATTATTCCAAATCATTGCACAATGCATCTGTTTGCAATAATGTATTTGTTATTGACGTTTTAATCTGAACAAGGTAGGAATCGTACTATCTGTGGTTTACACGAGTAAACAGTTTTAACGGTTTAAAACGCGAAATATATTAGTTAATTTATAATAAGTTATATTTCAATTATGTTAACAGCGAATGTTTCGGATGCTTTGCAGCTGCAGTGATCACGGGGAACATTAATAACTAATATAAATTTCGTTTTTACCCATCAAAGTGTTTTATTCAGAGGTAAGAAAAACGAAGTTCACATAATACAATATTTATATTGTGGTTTTCTAGATCAAAGTCTAGGTAAGTATCCCTCTTGCCTGAGACAAAAGTGAACGTCAATATGCATATTAAGTCAATACACTTACCTACTTAAAAAATTCAACTGATTTAAAACCCTGTTTTAGGATTTAAAACCATCTTTAGCAATAAGCTCAAAATAATAAAAACTCAATTATATAAAAACACCAACGTATTATTCATGGCTTGTTAAAGAAAAAATTATAAAATCTATTACTTTCCTATCATACGAAGTAGAAATAAAATTTTAGAAGTATAGAGGGTGACGCTATTAAAATGTAAGGTACGCAAGAATTCATAAAGAGAATAGGTATCTACATCGTGCTTCCTCATTTCTGTATACTATTTTTACCTTCATATTTAGGATGGTTTAATTCAATTTCTCCGTAGGCCAATCGTTAAGCGCTAGTTCGCTCTAATCGGGCCCTGAGTTGCAATCACGGGAAAGATTTAAAAATTGTTTTTGGTAATGGTACGAAATAAACAAATTTGTTTGATAAGTGTCGTACAAAAAAAACAACTTAACTAAACTGCTAGGCTAAAACGGAGTCTGAAAGTGGTTAGCAAATAATTTGTCGCGTTTAAACCGTTAAAAGTGTTTTATTTAAATGTGTACTACTCGCGTAAACTATAGACAGTATTCTTCTTCTTCCTCTTCTTATATATGATTAATAATTCTTTTGAATTCAGCGAAAACAAAATCAATACGAGCGTTCACAAAGAAAATGTTATTATCA